GAAGATTTTGTCTCGAATCACCCCCAAAACGAACGTCTCAAATGAAATGCAAAAAATAACCCAAAATCACGATCAGCGAGAGTGGGCTGCGTAATCATTACATTCTCACAGTCGGAGCTACGTCACGATCCCTCAAACGTTGCCAGGACCGGATTAACACCTCTGTTTTCCCCCACGCTAAGGAAAAAATCTTTTGTTTTCTGCTGACTTCCTGTTCCGGTCCGTCTGTGAGAATGTATTTTCGATACCTCCGATTTTCCGATAAAGGCGTTCTAAAATCGTGACGTTCTTTACTTGGTTATAAAGACAACATTGACAATGAATATCTCAACGTGTCCTTCGGTGTTTCGGCAAAAAACATACTAGTAGTTACTACTGAATAGTTTGTGAATTGGTGATTGTGTGTCAGAAATATAAAATGGACAAGTGACAGTCACATTCACGCTCTCAGTGCATTTCTTTCGTCTATCATTCTTCCGTTCTCAATTACACAGGACGTCAGGCAAGTTATGGGGATAATCTTTATTTGTCTCACACTTCTGTGGTGCAATAAACAATGCAGGGTGGAAGTGAGGCACAACAAGCTTGTGTCTGCCTGATTGTAAACAACCGGGCGGCTGGCGCTTATTTCAGGGTTCTTATTGACAAAACCACTCAACTCTTGGTGGCTCTTAATGGAGGGTCAAATGTAACAAATTTTCACTGAGTGGCTCTTAATTGAGGGTGGCGCTTATTTGCGGGTTTTTACGGTAGTCCACCTTTCAGGCTGCGCCTGAAACAGGGACTAAACAAGGCATGCATGGCACAGTCCAAGTTAGTTATCAAATTCAAGATATATAGTTTTGTTTATAGTAATATAGTTTGAACATAAACATGTCAGAGATAAGAAACTGATGTTTGATTATGAAAATTTTTTAACATTAAAATGGTTGACGTTCAGTCATCTTGATTGTCAAACAAGTAATTGTCTATATAGAGATATATTGCTTTAACTAAAACAAAATGGCCACCGGTTGGGCATTTTGAATTGAATCATCAAACTAATACATCTGTATATTTATGACATGATGTATAATGAATATATAAATTTGAACATAATCAGTCAAAGCATGTCAGAGATATGGCTCTAGAACCTCATTCATTAAAACAAAATGGCTGCCAATCAGCCATTTTAAATTTGAGTTGAAAAGCAATATGACCAGCATGAGGGGACCCATAATGTCTAATGTATGTACCAAGTTTGAACGAAATCCATCCATAAACAACAGATTAAGTTCGTAATGCCAGAAATGCTTGATTTTTTTAAAGCACAAAAATGGACAATATTTGGCCATTTTGAATCGGGTTGTCAAACCAATACATCTGTATATCTATGATATGACATGATATATAACAGAATATATAAAATTTGAACATAATTAGTCAAAGCATGTCAGAGATATGGCTCTAGAACCGCATTCATTAAATACAAAATGGCTGCCATTCAGCTATTTTAAATTTGAGCTGAAAAGCAAACCAACATGCATCAGGGACCCATAATGTCCAATGTATGTACCTATTTAGAAGAAATCCATCCATAAACGACTGAGATCTGGTTTTGGAATGCCATAAATGCTTGATTTTTTTTAGTACAAAAATGGCCACCACCTGGGCATCTTAAATCAGAACATGAAACAAATTGATGTGCATGTATGTATAATATTATGTATGGTGTATGTTTAAAGTTTGAATGTGATTGGTTCAAGCATGTCTAAGTTGTAGGTCTGGATGCATGCAAACACAGAAGAGGAGTTTTTGGAGAATCCATAACTTTCTTTGCAACTGGATCCAAGCAAACATTGAACATTTCATACTTGCTTGGGTAGTTGTGTTGAGTGTGTTCCAAAGCAGGATTCAAAACCATAATGCATGTTGACATTTTAGGTACAAATTTGTGAATGCATGATATATGTGTGAAGTTTAAACAAAATTGGTCCAGGCATGTCCGAGATGTAGGCATGAATGGACAGACACAATGAGATAAAATTACAAGTCCCTGTAGTTGCACTTTGTCTAAACTGGGACTAATAATGTCAAAGGGACTATAGATGATCTATTTACCTGGCAGAAAAATCAATTTCATCTGGTATCAGATCATCAGCTTTCAATTTTCTTAACTTTCTTTTCTTCTTTTTTGGCTTTTTAAATGCAGTAAGTTCTTCATGTGTGTAGTATTCTGTGGCTAATGTTGGAGCTGCTACCTCTAGGGTGTCAAACTGAAATAAGAATATCATATTACATAAGTACACTCAATTCTGTTATTTTGCTGACATGTAAGGAACCTTTGTTATCTTATAAGCAGCAAGTAAACCATTGTGAATTCCAGCAAATCTCTGATAGAATTGCAAATGTGAGCAGAAAATCTGGAATACCAAATTAATAACTGACAGTATGATAATATTTACCCCATCTTGTCTCAATTTCTGTCGTATTCTTTCAAGTTCCATTTCTGGATTAAGACTAGCGCCACCACTTCGTCCTAGCATAAAACTGTTTTTCTTTTCGCCTTCTATCTCTTCATCATACTTGGAAAGAACCTCTTTTTGTTTCACCTGGAAAAACAACAGCAAGAGTCATATAACCACACACAAGGAAAACTTGAGGCCACAGTAATCTTCCTGTATGGTCATAGTATTGAGTGGAAATAATTTATACCAGTTTTTCAACATATGAAAATACAGTCCTAAATCTTCATGATTATTACCTTATTCTTACATCCCTCATCGGTGACGAAATATGCAATTATGTTCACTCACAGATTTGAAATTGATGACGGATATAGACTAAACAGATATGTTAATACGAATATATTGTGTACATATTAAACTACTAGTTCAATCATGAATACCTTTCTTAAAAAAAAAATGTCTTTGTTGAAGGTGTAGACAGTATTGAATTTGTAAAAAACTCTCACCATTCCATATTCATCAAACTCAGGTTCAGCATATGGATTGTATGCAGCCTTTTTTTTCTTCAATTCAACATTCTTGGCAGCTTTTTCATAGTCAATGATATTCATATTTGTTAAGATATCATCGCCGTCTTCCGCTAACACATCTAAGATGAAAAAACATTGTTGTTGTTTTATTTCCCATATTATACAAAGTGAAAATAGTTACAGTAGAAAGTAAGTAAATGAATAAATGTACATGTATAAATAAATAAACAAACAAAAGTCTAAGTAAATATGTATAATATGGCTGGGAAGCAGAAATAGCTATAGCGAAGCTAGTCGAGCCTGTTTCCCACACATTGCATGAGTCATTTCCGTGATGTGATGATCTTATCATACTATGGGGAAAATTCTCTACATGTAAAACAATCCTCCCTATATCTTTAATTAATCAATGTAGACACATAAAAAGTAAGTTACATTTATGACAATGAGAGCACTGAAAGTGTACACACTAAAAGGTTAATACTGGTGAAGCAAAGAAAATGGGATTGGCAAGATGATATACCTTTATCTTTTAACGTGAGAACAATATCACGTCCTTCTTTGAATGATTCTTTAGAATGCTCCACTCTAAGTCCTCGTAAATCCTTGGCAGTGTACGCCTTAATTAACAAAATATGAAAGTGAATATTAATAATTAATTTTTTTTAAATACTAATGTACCACAGTTATAGCTACAATATATATTTTGCAATTTAATTGTTTGCCAGTTTGACAATAGCATTGAATAATCTTATGAAGTGACTACATGTATATACTGTAAACTGCTTTAATTTCGAAAGGAATACATTTCATAATAGTGAAAATTTCCCTGGGTTCTAGGAAATAGAGAGTTAGTGACTGTTACAAAATGTTGTTTTACAAATGTCACAAAATTGGGAATCACAAAGATTTCTCAGGGGAAAAAATTAAGTGGATTACATTATGTGTTTAATATGAAGTCTGTAATGCTATAATTTACACTTAATCTTAAGAGAAAACAAGAGACAGCATGTGACTAAGGATACCACTGTACACTGCACCAGGTAAGGAAAATAAATGGAAAAGAAAATGTAGTGAGCTGAATAGTTCAGTCTGCAATAATGAGACCGAGTACAATGTAAAACTCTATATTGAGATAGCCATATATTAACTGCTGATGAATTCTACAAGTAGTGTGCATACCTGTTGTCTTCTCTTGTCAGCTGAACCAAATTCATCGTCCACTAATTCACCAATACCAAATTCCTCATCCATTTCTTCTAACAACTTTGCCTTTAAACAAAATTATGAAACTCATCTTTCAAATTCCCCAAACGTTAGAATAAAATATATAAGCTGTACCAATTACCATAGCATTATAACACATAGAACCCAATACAATGCTACATCTCAGATAGAAATTCCAATCGAATGAATGAAATTTAAACAATCACATAGCAAACCAAGATGATTTGGACACACAGAAAATCACTGAAATTTTTAATTTAAAGTCTATTATACACAATTTGTACTCCACATAATAGTCAGGCATGATCTCACGACATGAAGACATTTTCACCACTTGTCTAGCAGGAAGACTTGCAATATTAACTCACCCTTTTTGCTGCCAGCTCCTTTTCTTTCTCTATTTTTCTACTTTTCTGAACCCATGCTATTGCACACTCCAACTCATCTTCATCATCATCTTCTGCAAGGCTTTTCACTTTACTGAAATGGACACAATGTGTTGACAATTGTGTTACTATTTACAAGGCCAGTGTTGATATTATTCTATTACTTTTAGTCATGTGACCCATTGTGGGGCCAATTGTTTATTCCTGTGAATCCACACTTGTCTCTTTGTATGCAGATAAGTAAACCGCTAGATTAGGCTTTATAAATGACAAACTTTACACAAAGAAATTAAATATGTAAATACCAAATGTTACACATAGGAATATTTAAATGTCACAATCTTAACTGTGATGGTTTGTTCTAAATACATGGCTTAATTACTGTATTTGTTGAATTGGTTGAATTTTTTTGTGAAAATTTGCTTTTGCTGTTTATTGTAAAAGTGTTGTGAAAATCAATGACCATACAACTCGTAGTGTAAAACAATGCCCCCAGTAGAGGTAATACGCTCTGAAACCTGTCATTTTAAGGGGTGCTCAATTAAGCCTCCACCCCTTCAAAAAACATGATTTGGGGATTTGAGAATCTTGGGTGCTAAGTCAGTCATTGTACTGTATACTGTTTGTGATCTCCAGGATTCCACTTATGCATTAACTATTCACAGTAGGACAGTGCTAAATACAAGCTTTTTACTACAGTCAGTAGGAAGCATGCTGCAGTACAGTGGTAAGGTGCTTTTTGTGATTGTAATTTTAAATCTTGTCTTAGCTGTTCTAATTTATGTGCATTTGTTTCCCTGTAATTATGTTAATTTATTTATTAGATGCAACCCCTCAATAAAATCAACTAACTTTAATTTTTGGTTAATTCTCCTCTTCTCTTTAATCATTTCCATTTTCTGTCTTATTTCCTCTCGCTTCCTTTCCTGTGCCAGATTAACTGCTGGTTTATGTACATCTTCTCTTTTGTCATACGGTACTTCAGCAGACTCATCTTTTTTTTCACCGTCAACTTCTAAAGGTTTTAGACCAAGCTTGACCCGCAGTTTGCTGAGATGAAAGAATATATTATAAGAATGTAATCTTAACAATAACATGACAAAACAGCAATAATAGGGAAGTTCTTTCACATAGTTCAACACTCAGATTTTTATTTCTGCCTTAATCATGTCTTGCTATGTAAGTTATACACAATGTATATACAATCAATATATACATATAATCAACTTACTTGGTTTCTTCAATACTGAGTGACATTCCTGCAGCAGCACCACCAGCTGCATCCTTAGAAGTTGCTGTAATCAAGAATTTCACACATTTATAGTCTACTAAATAAAAAATGATCATGCACAAGTAGTGATCTCCCCAGAAATTGGAATTTGCATATTAATTAACAGATCATACAGTTATATTTTTTAATAAATAATGTTGTGTGAAACACATTAGTTAATTAAAATGGGATATATTGCCAAGAATATATTAATAAAGTATGACATATTCACTGTTGACATATTCACAGAAGTTGTGAAAATGATTTCATCTATAACTTGAAAAGTTGAACTGCAAATTGGATGAAAGTTTAGAACATGGTAGCATACATCAGGGTTCTCCCCAGGGCTTTTTAGCACCGAGGTCCGCGGCTTTACTTGGGACCTCGGCGCTATGTGTTCCCACCTCGGCACTTGATTTCATATTTGACATGCCAATATCAGCTGTGAAAAAGCTTTGTTCGCCACGCCGGTCGGGCCCTACCGTCACTCGAAATTAGTGGAAGCGCTTCCAACAAGGACTATTGTCTGATTGTTATTATCATTACGTACCGACCGACACGCATCCTGCCAGTCGTGGATTATAATTTATAAACAATAGACCTAGTCACACGATACGTAGCGGCTAGTCAAATTTGTGAAATTAGCACCTCTTTGTTTGTAAGTAAATACTTTCTGCGATAGACACAGTCTTTAGATTGAAGGCTAAAATTCTTTCAAAATCAATTCCACCTCGATATAACATAGTCAAAGCAGAGTTCACGATCTGTTCAAGCTACTCAAGAAAAAAACGTGTTTATTGCGTGATTTGGTAAAATACATTTGAACTGTTATCATTGCAAATCATGTAAAAACTCTTCTTTCAAGACCTATTTTACCTTTTAAAAATTGCAAATCACCTCTTTCGAAAGCCATCATGCAGATTTCAATTGAAATCGATGCCAACACATCGTGCTACGACATTGCTTTACTTTCGCAATGTAATTTTTATGATCACTCGGAAAACTTCGGATTCTACCGGGATTACCATGCGGCATTTTGATTGGTTAATGGCATTCTTGACTCATCGGGTCAAAGGACACATGCTAATGTTTCACAAACATCATGGCGGGTCCGTTTTTTTACCGAAGCGATCAAGTGATCAAAAATAATCGCTCCCAATAAAAATAAGTCAGATTTTACTTACATTTCATATCCAAAAAAAGAAGTAACATTTTTTGAGGAATTATTGCTATAACTGGTGTATAACATGGCCAAGTAAATTATGTCACATCGTAACTTTGATGATCGTTTTGAAGCTTTATTTGTTCGCTTATTATTGTAATTGTAAACGTTTTAGAAGTTGATGGTACGAATAATAAATTACAACAATGCGCCAATTAATTACGTGATCGATTTTTTGAAGGAGAATGTTTTTGGAGTGAATAAAATTATGAGATTCATGAACATAAAGCTGGCTTAACATTTTGAATGCGTTTCCTTCAACGTTTTAACAATAATTTATTTGTGTTTGTTTTTAGTCTGCAGCATTTGTATTTCGAGAATGTTTCAAACTCTTCTAAATTGTGAAACATAATGTGTTGATTCCATTAAAAAAAATATTTGCCCTGTGACTGAGCTCACTAATATTCATAATTGTAAATAGGTTCTGTTAATCAATGAAGGAAAAATATGTAAATGATATGTAAATTATTATGCAAATTAGCCCGGTGCTATGCATTTTTTCTGGGGAGAACCCTGTACATGGCAGCAAACATGCATATAACATAGTTGTCATGGCAACAGTACTGAAAATATTCATTTTTGTGTACGTAACAGGTTGACAATAAAACTTGAAAGATTAGATCAGTTGTGGTGGGATGTCTTCAGTGTTGCGTTCAACACATCAGCATCGCGGGCAAGCAGTCAGAATAGTGGCGTAAATCCCAGAGTAGTGGCCTCGCTACACAAAAGCGCTTTGGGAAGAGCACTGTACAAGGTAGCTATTATAAATAAAATTTGCAAACAATAGATGTATTCACACAATACACATTATATGATAAATTGCATCAAAGGACAAATTTCTCTGAGTTACTCCAGGCATGGACGTACTAACACAGGATGAACCACTGAGTTAATAGGATTAAAAAAAACACTCGAGAAAGTTTACTTTTGGTGTTATAATGTGTTAAAATCCTCTTTAAACCTTTGTCTTGCCGTGGACGTACAGTTTTACCAATAAACAGATAGATAAAACAAGATCAAAGTAACTGGATGTGTCTTGCCATCATTAAATAGTGTGTACATCGCGTGAAAAAAATATTACATTTCATACCATTTTCCCTGCGCATTCAAAAACGAACGACCCACATGCGTAGCCCCCCACATGACCTTTCAAACATAGAAAATAAATCAGATTGACAGAAGTTTGTAGACGATAGGGTAAGTTACAGTACTTTCTTGGTAGTTTTTGAAATTTTTGCTTCAATTTTTTATTCTGTTATATTTCAACTTGATTTGTGTCTTGACATCATATTTGAGTTTTTATCTTTCATGTTTATTATTGTGGTCGACGTTAATAATAGCACAAGATAGCAGGTAAACAAGTCATTGTCAATGACACGTCCCCATTCCGTTCATATTTGAGTGACATATACATTCAAAGCAGATCATGACCGAAATGCACCTGCATATGTACAACACATTGTACTAAATCTGAACAAAATCCGTTCATGCATAACTGAGATCCTGGTCCGGAATGGTGAAAATGTGCAATTTCAATGCATTTTCGGCCTTAAAGCGGCCGCCATTTGGCTATCATTAATGAGATCATGAAACAAATGCACATACATATTTGTGACATGATGTACCTTGTGTGTGTGAAGTTTGAACTCGATCAATTCAGGCATGTCTCAGATACGGATCCAGAACTGAATCCTTTAAAACAAAATGGCCTGATCCAAACCTGATCCAAAAAAAAAATGACGTGCAGCAAGGTCCTATTATGTTTAATGTATGTACCAAATTTGAACAAAATCCGTCCATGCATAACTGAGATCCGGGTCCGGAATGGTGAAAATATGCGAGTTTGATGCATTTTTGGCCTTAAAATGGCCGCTTTTCGGCTATCGTTAATCGGATCATGAAAACAATGCATGTGCATATGTCCCATAGAATGTGTGATGTATGAGTGAAGTTTGAACTTAATCGGTCCATGCATGTTCGAGATACAGGTGATCACGAACGCACGGACGCACACAGGGCAAAACACAAGTCCGAACGGGGACTAAAAACAAGCCGTCAACTTGCTGCTTTTTTGTTAACCTGTATTCAGTTTCATTGACAATGAGCTCCACTAAGTGTGACACCATCTTTGCTTCGGGGAAAATGTCACATGACCATATGATGACCCAAATGTGCCAAAAGACTCTGAGAACTGCCAAACACACTGAGCAAACAGATTTTGGAATCACTCGGCAACGTGATTACCATCTTAACCACAATTAGAAATAAACATCAATGTTTATTTATTACATGTACTTAAAAATAACCAGCGGCAAAACAGATAGATTACGAGAGTAAATGAAATTGGTCAGTGGTTCATCCTGTGTTAGTACGTCCATGCTCCAGGCATGAGTGACCTTTGCAACATTTACATGCATCACAAAATGCTCTACAGTAAAAACTGTTTACAACATCACCTTCTCATAGTGATAACAATTTCACAAGCAAATTTTCTTACATGTGTCCTCAGTTTTTTCCTGCTTGATTCTGACTGGAATATCCTCCTCACTCTCACTTTTCCTCCTCCTTTTTCTTGATCTGTCCTCATCCTTTTTTCTGTCTCTTTCTCTTGACCTTGATCTATCTCTCTTGCGTTTGTGTTTTTTTTCTTCTCTGTCTTTGTCACGGTCACGTTCTTTATCTTTATGTCTCCTCTTTTTTTCATCCCTATCTCGATCTTTCTCTTTGTGTTTTTTGGAAGATCCCATGGTCTGATGAAGATAGCTGTCAAGAATATTTAATGAATTTGATTGCATCTTTGCACATGTACACAGCATAGCATAAAATTAATTTACCCAAATTACTCTTGTCAGGGTCTCAAATGGAATCCAATGTAATAAATTATGAATATTTTACAAGTGACCAAAGGAGGTTTATATACAATTGAAATGGAGGATGGGTACTGGAAGGGCCTGGGTTAGTATTAGAGTTATGAGTGAGGGCGCCCTAAAGAACAACTCTTCGTTTCTAAGGGCAACCTTACCGATCTAGTGAAGAATAATAGGAGTGGACATTAACAGACGTCCAGTTGTTAACCTAATTTTTGCACAATTGTGAAAAATAAAGCACTGTAATGAATACAATCCGGAAGAATAACTCTTGATTTCAAGAAAAATGCTTTGCAGTCCTTGTCTGAGTTATAAACTACCGCTTACTATTGTTTTATGCTCTTTCTCAGTCATTAGAAAACTAAATTTTCAGAGGGTATCCAGCTGGTGGGTTTATAGGTGTGGATTTACCTTTCCTGACTGAATTCCTCAACGACAAAAATCTACTTAAGTGCATGTACAACGTGCGATATTAAACTGACCAACCAAGGAATGGACACTGACTAAGGGTCATTCCAGTTTTATC